GTTGTTGTTGTTGTTGTTGTTGTTGTTGTTGTTGTTTTAACGCCGTCCTCTGAGGGCGACTTAGATGCTCAGTCATGTAATACACTAAAGTAAACTAAACCTTATGAAGTGCAAACGAGCAGATGATGGGCGTAGCTCAGGGGCCTCCTTCTTAGGTTATAGATACTACCATCACAAAATTTGTACAGTTTTGTGGGCTGCGTATGCTGGTGGTGTCAGAAGGCTGAGTTTGGCGTGGCGCCAGCCCATTACCCTGCAGTGGTTGAAGAGGAAAAACGACAACAATCGGCTGGAAACGTGTTAATGCCATACAAAAGCCACCCCTCCTGACATGCGCCAGGATTCGCAGCAAACAAAACTGTATGATGGAGAACAAACTTTCAGATGGCATGGCATAGTAGTGTGAGGCTCGGTTGTGCAATTCAGCGCTGTCCCCAGTTCTATGTCGTCGTATGTCAATATGGCCCAGGGTAACGGACGCTTTTACTACGGATATAATTTCGAAATAAATGTAGATTTACAGCGGAAACGTCATTGGCGAAGCTATCTACGATGTGGGTCCCACATGCTCACGATGTCCTACTGGAACCAGTTGTGAGCAGGCAACAGGACTTTGTAGTACAAGTGCTTCTCCTACTCCAAGTGCTACCAATACAGTAACGATCCCACCTGCCACCAACACGGTGGCGACCCCGCCTGCCACTACTTTACCATCAAGTTCGTTCTTTTGCGTGTTTTCTCTAACTACTATTCATTTCTCATGTCATTCACTAATGAGGGAAGGTGGGCACAGGTAAGTGGCATCATGCGGAGGGCACCAAACACTCCGATAATGACGCGTGAACACTCGGCCATCTCTCCAAGTCAGCGCACGGCCTCGCGGTTGTGCAATAGTTGATCTCCGACTTCACTAACTCTCCCCGCCCACACGATGAGCGAAGACTGTGCCTTTATACGCGGCTGTGGCGAGACCTGAGTTTGTCAGTGTGTCAGAAGAAAATTAATTTAAATACTTCGTTTATGTGCTCAATCGCTACTTAAACGACTGAATTTTATTCTATTTCTTCAGACACCTGTCCTGACAACAGCGGAATGACCGAAACATTAAGGAG